AAAAAGGAGGGAAAAAAAAAAGTTGTTTTTTTTTTTTTTTTGGGGGGGAAAAGCCAATTTGGTTTTGGGTTTTGGCTTTTTCCATTTGGGAAACCTTAAAAAATCGGAGGCTTTTTTTTCCCATTGGGGGGAATTTTTCCCAACCCTTGGGGTTTTTATTTTTTCTTTTTCCGTAAGGTAAAATTCCCCCCCCAATCCTTTTTATTTTTTTTTTCGCCGGCGGGGGGTGGGAACCTTTTTTGGATTTTCCCCGGGCCGGGCTTTTCTAAAGAAATATATAAAATAAATGTCCTGGAAGGGTTTTGGAAAATATGAAATGATGAATGTTTTCTCCCCTCCCCCCCCCCCCCCCCCCCAGCACTGCTCTTGAGTTCCTCATGTCTGCTGGCAATCGTCTGAGTAGACGAGACTTGAGAAATGCTGTTAAGCACACCAAGATCTTGTATGAAGAATTTTGGGTGAGTTTTTAGCCTCTTTTTGTTATAACTGCGGCTGTGATGCTGTTGTTATTGTTGTGTTATAAAGGTTGTTGCCATTTTCTATGGCTGTCGTTGAAAGTGTCGTTGTTGCAGTTTTTGTTGTTGTCATTATTATTGTGACATGTATTGTCGTTGTCATTATTATTGTTACATGTATTGTCGTTGTCATTGTTCTTGCCTTTTTTGTTGTTGTTGTTGATGTACAAAGACAATTTAGGTACAGGTCTTTGCGATTTCCTATTTGGGAGGACTATATATGAAGAGTTGAGATATTAGGAGCAAATTTCTCCTCCCGAATTTACTAGCATAGGGGGGAACCTTGACCTTTTGTGCCATGATATCAATACCGCAGTAAAATTGTTGGAAAATGGCATGAGTGCGCTGTTATATATGGAACATGAAGATTCGAAAGGTAGGGGAAGGGGTTTACTAATCTAGGCCCTAAGTACAGCTACGGAAAAATGAACTGATGTATGGATGAATGGATGGACGCAAAACTGAACGGAAGGAAGGATGGCTGTATCGACAGATGGATGAAAAGAAGATCTATATAAATGTAGTTTGAAATATGGAAAAGATATTTGAAAAATACTTTTTAAAATGTTTGAAATTTCTTCCAATTGTTCCATAAACACTTTTTTTGTATTGTAGGTGATGTCTAATTATTTTGGAGAAAAGGAGGAGGAGGACTCGTTGCTGACGTCCCAGGAGGAGGAGGGGGAGGAGGAGGAGGAGGAGGAGGAGGAGGAGGAGGAGGAGAAGAAGAAGAAAAAGAAGAAGAAGAAGAAGAGGGGAGGATGAAGAAGAAAAGTATCAAAAGGATCCATATGTAGGCGCTCCAAATCAAGTCCAGTTATTCCTGTCTGTTACTACCATGTTTGGTCATACTTCTTTTCATTTACCTTACTGTTGCTGTGTATTGCCCTTTTTTGTTCCGTGCTAAATGTCTGTTATCGTGCTGAAGTGCTAGTTTTCTTTTTTTTTCAACTCAAACTGAACGATTTAATGTGTTTTTCTTCTTTTTTTTTCATATCTTGACCTCTAGCACAGGCTAACACTTTCGTTTTGCTTTTTTTTGTGTGAAATATCACACACACATGAGTTTGTGTGTGTGTATGAAGGGGAGGGGGTGTTATGTGTGTGTGTGTATGTGTTTTTAAAGGATAGAGCATGCACTATGTAAAACAAATGGAGTAAGTTTTGAGGCAACAGCGTACACTTGAGCAGTAATGGAATAAAATTGTAGCAAGTTCAGTTCCTACTTTTTTACGGCGGGACATTGTATGCTGGGAAAGGTGGCCTTGCCATATATCAGCAGTTTATCCAACAGTAAGGGAGAGCACAAAAATGCCAGTGGGTGGTTGGCGGGTGCTGTGGTGTGGTCTGCTGCTTCTTTTTTCCTATCAAACATCTATTGTCTTTATCTCTCCTGCTTCCTTTTTGTGTTTGGTACTCTCTTGTAACACCTCTAATCGTGGGTGGTTGGCAGGTGCTCTGGTGTGGTTTGCTCCTTCTTTCCAATCACACATCTATCGTCCTTATCTCCCCTCTTTCTATGTTATGTTTGTTACTCTCTTGTAATACCTCTAATCTTCGGCACTTATATGACCTTATTGTGTTGCAAGTGCCGTAAAACACTTACTAAAACAAAACAAACACCTCTAATCTTCGGCACTCATATGACCTTATTGTGTTGCGACTGCCGTAAAACATTTACTAAAACAAGCAAAATGCCACACTGTGATGACCAGGAATGTTATAATATTGTCTGT